AAAAAAAAAAAAAAAAAAAAAAAAAAAAAAAGGGGGCAGATTTGAGCTGGGAGCAATTTATTGGGTGTTCTGCCATCATTTTAATCTCTAGCATTTTCATAGCACTTAGCTGCAAAGCATTTTACAAACACTAATGTAATAATTTGTGGTGAAAAGTCACCACTTGCTGGCGGCAATTGCAAAGATGACCTATGACAAAGCCAATATTTGTGAACAAGAATTGGTTGGGTTGGGTCTTATTGCCCCATTCAGCTTTATCTGTAGTAACCTGTATCCACAGTGGTGTTGCATGGAAACAAAAACCTCTCTCAAGTGGAGTGCCTGCAGTTCTGCTTCCTTCCCCCACCCCGCCCCATGTACTTTTGATCTGTTTAAAAATTGTCCATTTTATACTGAATTTAAACTTGCACAATTGCTTTCTGTATTAACAGATTAAAGATTTAGCTTTTAACAGAATTTTGTGTTCCTCTCTGAATCTGTGTAACTAAAGACAAAAAGAGCTTGCTTAGCTTTTGTTTTCTATTGACTTTGTCCAGCTACAGAAACTCCCCCTCTCCCCACCCCCAAAAGATGAAGGGCAGCTTTGAGGTTCAGGAACTCCCCTTAAAGTAAGCCAGAGTCCTGTGGTTCAGAGATGGAGCTGAGAATCTGGTTCTGATGATCGTTTTAGAACATGTTAAAGGTGCACTCGGGCAACATTTCTGTTGGTAGGATTTGTAGCACTCCAACAAGAGGACACCTCTGGACATTAAAGCTAAACAAAATGCTTAGTTTAAAAAAAAAAATCCAATGATTAAAGGTGCACCAGTACATCAGTCTCATATCGGATCGGCACCGATATAAGGAACATAGACGGTATCGGCAGTCTGCTTTTTTTGGCGGATGTGGCTCATAATGTGGCCAATAAATGCCCTGTGAATGTGCACAGCTGCAGCGCAGCATGCAGGCAGCCCAGAAGCACAGCCCAGCAGTGGAGAGCAGCCAGGTCTGGTTGCTAAGTCTATTGTGGGGGAAGGGGAGAGTGGGGAGGGAGGGGGCATGTGAGGGGAAGACCAAGGCTGCCTCAGTGAGGGAGGGAGTTGAGGCAGGGGCAGGTGCTGCACAGCAGGCGTGGGGCATGTGACAGAGCTGTGAGTGGTTTGTCTGAGGGGTGTGAGGGAGGGGCTCCCACTGCTGCACACACACCAGGAGGGCATGGGGTGCATGTGCCCCCTGGATCTGTGTGCAGGGCAAAGGAGGGCTGCTGCTGTGGGCTAGGGTAGCACCAGGCTGTTTATGGAGGGGG